AGCAGAGCAAACCCAGCATTGCAGTCAGGGCGCAGCATTGCAGGTTTGCTGCACAGCTCTTCTTGTTTCAGCTGAGCAGGAATTCCACGCACACTTTCAGGGCTGTTACAGTGCAAAAGAAACCATTGTCTATCTGGTTGAAGTTGTTTCCCACTGTTCATCTGAAATGTTTCCRTCCATTCCTTGGTGGGAGAATCGTGCAGGGCTCATCCCCTCCCGCAGAGGACGGATCAGGGATGAGCAGGAACTGAGATGGACCCCAGCTCAACACTGAATCCCTGTAATAAAAACACACAGCCAGAACCATCCACCTCAGCCTGCATTTCTCACACAGTCCAACTTCCCACTGCGCTAGAGGTGGAAGCCCAGAATGGTTTCAAATCAAGAGGAATTCCAGGCCATGGAAGAAATATTCAAAATGATTTGAAAATAAATGGCAGAAATGCCCTGACAGGGAAATTGAGTTCAGTACTTTGTTAAAGCACTGAAAGAAATCTGTGTAACCCAGAAGCACATTAACCAAAGAGCTTCATGCCACTCCTCTTTGGGGAATATTTTTGAAACTGTCCCTTCAGCAGTGGCGGTGTCTAAGCCACTCAGTCCAACAATTCCTTTATTTTGAGAGTGGCGGTGTGATTGTGGTCCCAACAGTCTAAGGATAGATGAGAAGAAATTTTTACAGGAATGGGTGATTGATGAGGATAAAGGGACAAAACGCCCCAAATCCTCTACCTTTMTTTCAASTGTATCAGCTGCTCTAATAAAATATATTTTGTTCTCCCTACACCCTGTCTTTTCTCACATATTAATAGTTATTCCTCATGTTTTCCTCAAGCCATGCAAAGTGTTAATTTTTTATGTGAGTTACTGATCACTGAGATGTTCTGTTTCTAAGTGGTTACATCATGATTAAGAAGTTTTGCCTAAAATACTTTTCTACAAGGATAGGTCTTAAGGGAAAAATGTTCATTTAATGGACAATTGCTATGTACTAATTTAGAACAAATGACTGTTGTGAGGATAAGAAAACATTTTCTCAAAAAATAGCTTTTTCTCTTGTGAATTCTATTCAGAATTTTGATCTAATTGTAAATACTTTCTGTTTCTATGGGACTTTATTTATTAAAAACAAAAACTTGCTAATGGAAGTTCMGAAGTAGGTTGTAATACTTTCAGACTCTCTGGAGTTTTGGGTAGGATGGGCCACGCCATAAATGAACAATTTGGGTTTTGATCTTCAGTGCTACCAAAAACATTGAACAGTTTGAAAATAGCAGCGRTCAGCTGGTCCATGGCTGCCTTTGAAGAGCTTCGTTTGGCTGTGCTGTTCCTCTCCCATTGTGGCTGCATCACAACATCCTCAGGCGTGGTGTGGGATACTGCACATCCCCACAGCTTTGAAACCTCTGAGCTGCTTCTGTCTCGGATTTCACACCATCTGCTTTTGCTGCAGGGAAAATGGAGGTAAATTGAGTCCAGAGAGATTAATTTGCTGTCCCTGCACACATCCAGCACACTTCCCTCACCAAGTCAGGTGTCAAAACATTCCTTGTAGGAGCTCAGAAGTGCCTGTTGAACGGGAAAAATAACCCTTTTCACACGAAGATCACTGGTGATCATTTCTGCAGCAAAAATTGCTATGAGGGCCTGCGCTGAAAACTGAGAGGAGAAAAAAAACATTCCCAGCATCCCCATTGTTAGAGCAAAAACGTTTTTAATCACAGTTTCCATAACAGCGAGGAAAACCCCTTTGTCCCCCTGGTGCAGGTAATTCCCTACCCTTCAGCACTTCCTCACAGAACCTTTTCCCAACACAGCGAACACTCAGCACCCCAAAACAATGGGAAAATGGAAAAAAAAATGGACTTCCCAAGGGCTGCTGGCACAGCTTGTGTGGCTGAACCCCTTCCCTCGGTGCACASACCACGGGTTCCAATCACTGCGGGYACAGATCAGCCCTGGGASATCAGGATTCAATATCTGATTAATATTAAATTTGCAATTGTAAAYTCTGTCTTGAAGTTGAGTTTTAATGGGAAGTTTTGCCTTCTAAATAAGAGGTAATACCCCTTAAATGGTATGGATTGGATGCAACACCAACTTTGCAAACACAAAGCTGCAGGTAGGGATTTATAGAAAGAGAAAAACAAAAATGTGAGGGAACCACCCTGACAAACGCCTCCTGGATGAGCAGCTCAGTCCTACACCTGCCAAACATTCAGGTTTTCATTCAAGCACTGGGAAAAATTATGTGTCTCATCATAAATCCCATCCCAACTGCCTTGTGGTTAAAAATCAGCTGTGSAGGAATGTATCCAACTCCACGGGTACAAGCAATGCACTTCCATTCTTCTCATGACAATTTAGCCCTGGAAAGGATAATTGCAGGAAAAAACATTTTCTGGACTTATGGATTTTCATTTTGATGTTCAGAGTATGGATGGAAATTGGGGTGGCTTGAAGCAAACCCTCAGGAGGCAATTACTGACCCAACAGCAGAAATAAGAAGGAAATTAATCCACAATTTTGGATGCAATATCATAGTGTTATAAATGTGTGTGTACATAAACAAGATATACAACAGTTGGTTATGGTACAGCCCCCAGCCAGAAAGCATTGCTGGGGAGCTGTGGGTGCAGCTCCAGACAGTAAAATCCGCCTGTGTTTGTTACCTTTTAGCCAAACACCTGAGAGCTGCCCCACARCAGAGACCCCTCATTCTCAGTACACGAGGACTCTTCCAAGATGAGTATTTTTGCTTCTGCCTCACCCGCAGTGCCCTCAGTGCCTTTTCACCACCCCCTGCTTTCAGGACACATCAGTCCAGCTGGAATTCTCAGTGTGTGTGTGAGCTGGCACACCCAGAGCCGCTGTGATTTGGAGAGGGCTGTGGAGATGCTGCAGCTCCTCTGGCTCTGCTCTTTCCTCACACCCAGCAACCCCTCTGTGCTCCAGGCTCCCTCCAGAGCATCCYTGCTGGGCTCTCCCAGCCTCTGGACCTTCCTGCTGGCCATAAAAGCTGCACACTTCGAGGATATCCACCCTTCTTCCCAACGTGCAGTGTGTAATCATGGAGAAGTCTCCTGATCGTGTTTGTTTGTATGCAAGGCACCTACAGCTCCCAAACCAGACCAGAGGGTCCTGCTGAGCTGGGCCTTACAGAGTCCCAAGGAACTCCCACACCACAAAAAGGCAAAGGCAGGGAGCAGGAAGGGAATTTGGTGCTGTCCTGTTCAGCATCCATGAACTGGACCTTATAAGATTTTACCTTTATTCTTTGTAAGAGCCAAAAATCTCATGGGCTCTGTGTTCAGAAGAAGTTTTAGTGTAACAAACCCAGTAAAGAGCAACCATGCATTGAAATCCTCCCAAAACAGGAATGATTTGTTCCATTCACAGCCTCTTTCATGACACCTCTTTGTTGTTTGATGGAGCAAATCCTAAAGTGTTGCCAGTCTGGAGCTTGGCTGGATCATGCAGCAGGCGGTCTCTGGGCAAGCCTTGCCCTGGGCAAGCAKTAGTCAAGGCAGTCACTCTCAGATTTGGGGGTTAAATGCTTCAGGACCTTTTTTAAATGTGACATTAATTCACTTAGAGTTTTGCAAATGGCTGAGATCCCAACTCTCAGCCGGGACGAGTTTCTAATTAGGATTTTGCTAACTGAACATGGCTTTCAGCCCCGCTTCAGGAAAGGCTAAAGCCAAAAAAGAGCTTTAGCTCAAGTGAGAATGGCCCTGCTATTGAGACACAGCCCCGTGAAGGGCTTTCTTTTTAATTATTAAACTTCCTCATGTTGGAAATGGGGAGCATTTTCATAACAGCGTTGGCCAAGAGGAATATCCATTGCTCATTCTGTTGTACGCCGTTACCCAACGAGGTTTTTTTAGTTCAGTGGAGACAGCAAGGGAGAAGCGAGGTCTCCAGAGGCAGGGGAGGGAAGGAGGAACACGCAGCTCCATTGGTTCTCACACTGGGAAGAGCTGGCAGTGCAGGAGCAGATCTTGTCCCGCTTGCTGCAATGGTGATTAAAGCGTTCTGTTGTGTCAGCAGATCCGCGGGTTGTTAGYGCGAACTCTCAGCTGGCCGTATCCTGCCAGATTTGCAGGAGAAGCCTGCCAAGCCATCTCAACAAAAATGTAGCTTTAAATATTATAAATGATGCTGCATTTTGCTGTGGAAATGTTTCCTGAAAAGGCTGTTCCAAAACATCCTTTATTGTTGGGGGAGGGGAGCGAAAGGGGCCTGGGAGAGGGAGGAGGGAGGAAAAAGAGCTACTTTTAATAGACCCTTTTTTTTTTCTTTTGAGGCCAGAGATTCATTTCACATCATTCTGTAAGACCAAATGGATATTTTTTTCCCAGTGACTATAAAACATTACAGTAATAATTTTGTATGTAAGTTTTGGCAGCTGAGCCGGAGTGGGAGGAAGGACAGAGGGCATCTGATTTTCTGAAGGGTTGCACTGAGGGATTTTGCAATTGATCACTTGGTAAAACCTCYTTGGTGAACATCTGCTCGCTGGCA